TCAACTCCCAGAATTCCCCAGCCAGCATGCTGGCTGGGGAATTCTGGGAGTTGATGTCCACACTGCTGAGGTTGAGAAACATTGAGTTAGTCTGAGGACTTACTAATCCTCCCACAGATCTCCACTTCAGGCTTTCCTCCCCCGTTTTCTTTCATGTTTACAGTCCAGTTTAGTGCACCAAGTGGCCAGGGACTTAGAACAAGATATTTGTTCTACTGCAAATTCCACAGAAGCTTCCATTTCTGTAGCAAGGGTCAGGAACCACATGCCCTCTAGATGTTTTGGGCTTCAGGACTCCTCTCTCCCTCCCTGTATGGCTAGTGGCAAGAAAATTGTAGGAGTTGTTGGAAACATCTGGGAGGTATGAACTTGGCACCCCTCCTCTGCAGCTTTGTTCTGTGTTTACGAGAGTTAGCTGAACATCCTCAAAGTGAGCTGCAGAGCATTGTTCATCATTGTTGTTATGGCAGGTAATGCAGTAGTTATGTCAGAGATCAGGAAAAAGAGTCAGGAAAATGTGTGTGGTAGTTTGGTTCTCCCTCAGAGACCATGTAATTGTTTCTTGGTTCCTCACCTCCCAAGTTATGTGGTCTAATGAAAAAAAAAGTTATTTTTTCCACCAGGAGATCTCTAGTCTTTTTAGTCTGTAAAAACAAACTTGCAAAGAACGGCTCACCTTTCAGAACATTTGTAATGATTGTGGGAGGAGGGGGAAATGATGCCTGGGCCATTTTAGATTTATTTATCTGTAATCATTGTCATCTGCTTTTGGGGTGTTTTAAAAAATTGAATTTCAATTGAATCGACATCCTCTAAACAGGGATGGGTAACCTCTGGTCTGCCAGGTATTGTTAAAATACAGCTGCCAGCATGGCCAGTGGCGAGGATGCTGGGAGCGCTAGTTCGGCAGCATGTGGAAGATCACCTTCAGTCATTTTATTCCGCTGCATTTTGGTCTTTGAGGTTCCTTCCTTGTATCTCTTGGAGATGTTTGTGGCCACAACGGCTGGAATCTCGGAGTGGGGGGGTTGAAATGATGCCAGGATATGAAAGGCTCTGCCCATAACGATGTCCTGTGATTTTCCTGCCCTTGCACAGAATTGTGCAGATGTCCATAACGGCTGTGTAGATTGATTCCTCTTGCTGTCTCTTCGCCCCCTCCAAACTCCAGGGGAGAACAGGTTGAAGAAGAAGCCCCCTCCGCTGGGAACTTTGATGGATCGCCGGAAAGAAGATTTCTCCTTGTTCAAAGTTTCTGACAATGAGTACAAGGTGAAAATCTCCCCTCAACTACTCCTAGCTACCCAGCGCTTCTTATCTAGAGGTAAGACCATGGAAGAGGCATGTCTTATCGTAGAATCGGAAGAGATTTTGGACCTTTCTGTTTCATTCTGCTTTTCTATCTGGGCCACCTGGAGAAAAATGGAAAAGATTCCCCAGAGCCCTCACTGGATTTTTGCTATGGCTTGTTAAGGACTAGCAGCTTCTAGTGCTGTTTAATCTTGAACACAGAAAGGAAAAGGACCCCCATCAGGTTACCTTGGGCAGGACGATAGGCCATCATCCTTGGCTATCAAGAATCCTCAGTGCAAGGGGATCGTTCTCTTAAATTCAATTTACTTGCTACATCGATTTCATTTCTAAGCATAACAAGTGGCATAGGATGAAAAACTGGGGGCAGAGGAGCCAATAATGAACAGCTGGCATAGTCAAACTATGTATCCCAATATTAGAAATGTATTTATTTTTGGCTGCTGAATGGGATTTGTTTAGCCAGGGAAGAAACCTGTCTTCTGGTTCCTCCCCATGTCCCTCTAAGTCCAGCATCTATCCAGATTCAAAAAGAATGCATAAAAGAATACACAAAATTATAGAAGGAAAAAAAGCTGAACCCCCCCCCCAAAACATACAAGACGTATATCTACAGGCATAAATATATCAGTAAATTGAACCCATGATTCATTACAGTCATCCATAGCTGATCTATATTAATCAATTCTGCAAACCACTGAATAGTTGAAGCCTTTGTGAAAACACATCTTTGTGTTTCTGATGCTGAACAATATGCCTTTTGATTGTAAGTCCATTTTCTTTGTCCAGAAGTCAACTCCCATGTAACAGAGAAAGAATATAAACATAATATAAATAAAATAATAATTATAATACAAAAGGAAAAAAAGATTTGTTTTTTGTATTTAGTTAATTAAAAAAAATGCATAAAGCAGTGTAAAAATCTGTTTGCTGTCAGCATTCACATCATTTCACTTTCATATCTTCAGCGTTCATTGCCAAATCAATCGTTGGCTCAGCTGATTGCGTAAACCCTCCAAAGTGGGATAAAGAAATGTAAAACCTTCCTTGTGTGTCGAGAGGAAGCTTTAGGATGAAGGTTAGAAATATGTGCAGCCACTACAGTTTCTGCAAACGTATTCTGATAAACGCGAAGCTTCAGGTTGTATGTATTTCTATCCTAGCATAATAATACTCAGCAGTCAATGAATTGCAAGAAGGCTTGCGGGATAAAATAACTGTTTTTGACCCTTGCATCTCCAAAGTCCTGCTCTACTTGGCTTCTGCGGTACAAGGTGGGTTCTTCCTAGCTGACCCTTTAAATATTTTTTGCAAGTTATATTTCCAACAAATGCGCATAAATATTCTTTTGTCATTTTTCCAGGCACACTTCAGTATTTACTTCTACTCAGCTTTGAGTCAAATAAGTTTTCAGTATCACTAGGCTTCGTTACGTGTATTACTGTAGCTGTATACTGGCCAGAGAACTCCTGTTGTTGGGGAGTATAAAAGTACAGTCAAACAACCAGGCCTCCCTTAGGCATGAAAATCCAGCTGGGTGACTTTGGGCCAGGCCCTCACTCTCAGCCCAACCCACCTCGCAGGGTTGTTGTTGTGGGGAAAATAGGTGGCAGGAGTATTAGGTATGTTTGCCCCCTTGAGTTACATATAAAAGAGGTGGGATTGAAAAAAAAAAGATCTAATAATAACTGATCAATCGGTAAAAATTGGATACTTTTCAGTGCCATGCCTCCAGCAGAACTGTGTCTCTGAGAGTTGGGATCAAAGAAGAAAGATTCCTTCCCAAACTGTCCCAGGAGTGTGTACAAGAAATCCCTTCCAAGAGCTGCCTTCTCCCATGTGAATCTCCCCCTCCACCACCACCACCACCACCACTGAAGGTGCCACTGGCATCCGTGGCCAGGCGGAAGGGGTTTCCAGCCATAGGGCGATCCTGTAGATGGCCCTCCAGAAGATGTAGAGGTCATAGGACAGTGTTTCTGGCGTAGGGAATGGCCTTGAAGGACAGGAGGAAACACCACTATCAAAGCAATGGTCAGATAAGAGGGGTTTGAGCTGGGCCAAGAAAATAACTTGAGAAAACGTCTCAGACCAGCCCCTCCCTGGTTCACACAAAGATAAAGTGGGGTGAGGGGAACACATTCAGACTTGCAAGATTCTGTTACTAGAGCTGTTACAATAAAGGTAGTCCTGATCTATATGGCACTGGTTTCTCAGCCTGGTCTACCTTGCAGGGCTGACAGGAGGCGAAATGGGAGTCCACCTTTTTTCCCTGTCCTTCCGAGGTGCTGAATCAAAACCACCTTGTCTCCTTCCTGAGCTTCCTGCCCCTGCCCCTTTCGGGTGTCGCTTTGCTTATTGTGTAAAAACTAAATAGGCTCTCCTTTGTCAAAAACCTCAATATGATGCAAATGTGTTTTCTGCCTCCCCTCTTGCCACCCCGCCCACCCCCAGAGGTGGATCTCTTCAGCCCCGGCCGAATGTCCGAGAAGGTCCTGCTGCATCTGCTGCAGCATCCCAGCGTCAACCAGGAGGTGAAGTTTGATGACTGCAATCGCTTGGCCGCTGAGCATTACTTGTACCAGCGCAACCAACCGGTCAATTACTTTGTCCTCATCCTGCAGGTACTGCATGTTTAGGGTACGCTGGGAGGACCTTGAGGGAGGGTGAAGGCCCTGGTGCAAGAATCAGGTGGGAGGCGAAGCTAACTTCTCCTTGGGGCCAGACGGAGGCTGCTGGGGTAGACCGTGGCCTCCAAATCCACGGTCCAGGAGGAACAGGCTGTTGCGTGAGGTGAGGAGTACTTCCATTAGAAGGTTATTGGTCAGAGATGGGCTAGTGGATCCTGCACTCAGCGGGGGGTTGGACCAGATGACTTCCGAGATCCCTTCCTGCCCTATCAGATTGCTTGAAGGTTGGCAGGCTGACGATTCTGGAACCCACGGCCAGGAGAAGGCCTTCCTGCCTTGGCTGGAGTGAAAACCTTGTTCATGGTGTTCATGTTTTTAAATGTAAGATAATACCTTGAACTAGTATGGTGTAGGGTTACAGCGATAGACATGACAGGGAGTCCCAGGTACTGATGGGAGACCCGGGTTGAAATTGCTATGTGACTATGGACCTCCTTGGGGGGCTCTCAACCCAGCCTACTCCTAGAACAGTGTTCCTCAACCTTAGCAACTTTAAGATGTGCGGACTTCAACTCCCAGAATTCCCCAGCCAG